CCCACCTTTATGACTTGATCTGAGGGGGCCAAGGGGAGAGAGAGACTTGCCCGAGAGCATCCTCCAGCCCCCTTTCCCAGGACCTAAGATAGCACTGACCAGTCTGAAGACTGGTCCTGCTGGGCCTTCAAGGGTCCTGTCCCGTTCAAGGGTTGGGCCTTCAAGGGTCCTGTCCCCTCCCTTGGCCTCAGTTTGCACATCTTTGCTTCCCTGGGCCATTGGCTGTGGCCTCTGGCCTCCAGCCAGTGGGACCCTCTGGAAAGCCCCTCACAGCGCAACACAGGAAGGGGAGAGGGGAGGCTGTGGGCAAGTTCCTGCGGAGGCTCAAGCTCAGCTGTAGCTGTTGGAGCCTGTCATTTCCCTTCCTCCACCCACCCAGCTGGGAGGCAGAAAAGTTTCATCACAGCTGAGTTGTTGTCCTTATAAGGGAAGGGCCTCCTGAGCCTCTCACTTGGGCCATGGCTGGCTGGTGGAGAGCCTGGCCAGCCTGGGGTATCCTCCAGGCACCAGCAAAGGTGGGGATGCCCCAAGCCTCAGGTGGCCAGAGGTTCCCTGGGCTCAGCATCCATCTGAAGTCAGACTCTCCAGGGAAAAAGCAGGAAGCCCATGGTGGCCCCAGGCCAGGACCCCAGGGGATCAAATCCCAGGTCCTGGCACTAACTTGTGGTCTCCTGGGCGAGTTGTTTTAAACTTCAGTTTACTAACCTGTAAATGGAGTGAACATAAATACATCTTCCTCATGAGGCCACTGTGGTGACGATGGGAGGTCAATGTAGGCCTACCAAATAGGGTGTGCCCTGTGAGTCCAGGCCATTGGGGTTTATTAATCATTGTCTATGAGGCAGGCCATGGGCTAAGTGTTCCACAGCAACCCTGTGAAGAAGGAAGAATTAGCCTATTTTATAGACAGGAAAAACTGAGGCAGTTTGCCCAAGGTACTCATTCATGGCTGGGGCTTGAATCTGGATGTGTCTGCCCCCAAATCTTAAAGTCATGGTTTTTTCTACTTATACCCTGCTACTTCCTCAGGACTTTTGTGCCTTTAATAAAATTATGACAACAGGGAGGAATGTTCACCATCATCTCTCTACCATCTCCTCCCACCTCCCCTGCAGACCCTCCTCATAACCTCCACTTAAGTGAGTGTATGTGGCCTTTACTGACAGCCAAGTCTCCTATTTCTGACATGTCTTGTGTCAGGGATACGAGAGTAAAGGTTGGAAGACAGGAAGACAGGACTTGGAGTTGGGACAAAACACAATAGCTCCAGAAAGACACAGAGAGTTTCCAGGGTCCAGGGTCTAGGCTCAGGTGGGGGCAGAGGGAGAGGCAATCCAGATGCTACCCATCCCCCCAACAATCCCTCCTCCTCCATCCTGGGTCTTGTCAGAATGTGGCCACCTTGTGGTTTGTAAAACTGTGAATCGTAACTACCCACAGCACTTCAGGCCATTGAGATACTGCGGCCAGTAGTCAAAAAAAAAAAAATGCTTCCTCTTCTCCACACAGGCCCCCAGCCCCCAAGACCAGAGGGAAGATTCTCACCATATCCTTCCTCAGCCCTGTGGCTGGCTACTAAGACCTTCCCTGCAGCCGCCCTCTTCAAGTTGGCCTTCCAGAGGGGACCTAATTCTTGGGCCAGGGTTGGGGGACACCCTTACCAATAAAGGAGTTCCTCTCCCCCACCTTGGTTCCTTCTCAGAGATAAGGGACCTGTGAAGGTGAAGTGATTCACCTAGGGTCCCCCAGCTCTACAGGCCACTCACTCCGTATGGCTGTGACACAGAGGCCAGTGGCAGGGGAATTCAGGCAGGTCATTGCCAGGCAAAAGGCCCTGGTCAGGTGCTTCCTGTTATGTTGGCCACCAGCCCTGTCCAGCAGCCCTCACAGGAGGAAGGGAATCAGCCGTTGGGGAGCCCAGCAGTACTTTTTCACATCAGGGGTAGGGGCATTGTAATCTCCTTTTCAGTGGTGAGTAAATTAGAGGCTAAGACTCACCAAGGTCTCTCAATGAGACTTGAACCTAGGCAGTTTGAATTGGATCTCTGTACACTGGCCCAGGGCCTTCCAAAGGGCACTCAGCGAAGCCCTGAGATCCTGCTGAGATATATTAGGGGTGCGGTGGGCAGGGCCCAGGCTCACCCCCAACCAGGACAGGCTCTGAGGTTAAAGTAACAGCTGGAATAATTTTGAACCATCATAGGAAACATCTGTTCAGGCCAGAATCATCAATGAATACTAAATCTACAGGGAAATTTTGATGAGGTGCAACATATTTGTGCAGTCTTAAAATATCTCCCAGTTTATAGTTGCAAGAGAAAAAAATCATAACTATACAATAGAAAAATCAGACACCTTGACCAGGAGGTCAAAACTGACATCACCAATGAGGGATGAATGAAGGTCATATGTCTCCGGATGTGATGCCCTGAGGACCTACTATCACCTATGCAGTTTTCTGGCTGAGAATCCATAACCTCAATCTAATTATGAGGAAACCTCACAGTGACAAACCCCAAGTGAGGAATGTTCTATTAAAAAGGGTGGGGGTGCCTGGGTGGATCAGTTGGTTGAGTGCCCGACTCTTATTTTTGGCTCGGGTCATGATCTTGGGGTAGTGGGATCAAGCCCTACATTGGGCTCTGTGCTCAGTGGGGAGTTGGCTTGAGATTCTCTCTCTCTCCTTCTTTCTCTAAAATAAATCTTTTTAAAAGGGGGCAGGGGGAGGAAGGGCTGTATTCTTCAAATGTATCCACATCATGACAGATAAAAGCTGTGGAAACATTTCAGATTAAAGGAGACGAGAGAGACATGTAATATTTAAGCCTACACTGAAGGAAAAATATGAGATTACTGGGTCAAATGACAAAACTGGAGTAAGAGCAATAATAAGTATACCAGTGTTAAATTTTCTGAAGTTGATAACTGTATTATGGTTATATGAAAGAATATACTTACTCTTAGGAAATGCTCAGTGAAGTATTTAGGGATAAGGGACCATGAAAACGAATTCCTCAATGATTCAGAAAAAAATTACATTTCTTAAAGACAGAAAGCACTCATAAGATAAACCAATGGGTCAATCTGATAACACATGGGTATTCTTTGTACTGTTCTTATTCTTGCAAATTTTGTTTGAAATCATTTCCAAATCGTCTCTAAAAATTGAAAAGCGTTGTTCCTTATGACACTTAGCTCCCAGCCTGTAGAAACAATGTAGGCGGGGGTGGGGAGGGGGTAAAACTGGAGGACCTAGCTGAGTTTAGCAAAGATGGGGCCCAGCCTATGGGAGGGGAGCCCTAGAATGAAGCTTGAAGGACCAGTGATGCCACTGACCAACGACGGCCTACCCTCTGCTTCCCTGAGGCCAGCCCTGCGGCTCGCCCCCACACCAACAAACAGGCTTGCGGCAGAGAAGTTCCATAAAAAGGGATTTATTGCCAAACTTCAAGAAAGGCGCTTCATGACAGAAGACATGGAATGCCACCCTCCTCAAGGAGGCAGGCAAGGCATCCCCTGCTTATTCCCCATCCTTCTACCCCTCCCGTTGAAGCTAGCTTTTCTCCCTTGGGGCCCAGGCCACCACGGCATGGGGACCCCAGAGGGACCAATGGCATTAGGTCACTGAGATGGCCCCAGAGCTACTTGCTCAATCTGGTCATTTATCAGAGGAGGAAACTGAGGCTCTAGTCCCTGGAAACAGGTGACTTGGCTAAAGCCCCAGCCAGCCCAGGCTGCTGGTGGGGGAAAGCTGTTCCCCAAGAGAAAACTGCAGGCGGCCATATGACGTGGGCACCCGATGACGACCTCACTCTCACACTGAAGGCAGATGGACAGGCAGACTGTGGCATGGGAACCTAGTTTTGTCCACGGAGTGTAGTTTGAGGAGGCCAGTGGGGGCTCATGAGTCAGGACATGGCTGTTCACCTCCACCCTGCCCGGGACAGGCTGCAGAGTAGACATCTGCCCCTCTTGATCCCTGGCCACTACCCTCAAGAATAAAGTAGAAGTAAAGAAGACATTGACCTGCACTGGCAGGTCTCAGTGGGCACGACTGGTGATGGGGCGGTGGACAGAAAGGCCAGGGCATGCAGCTGTGACCCTTTCTCCTCGTTCAGTAAATAAAAGTGCACATGCAGAAACCCCCTGAGCAGACCTGTCAGAAGCTGCTCCCACTCCTACAGGCCCCAGGGAGAGTGGCTGTGGCCCTCAGGGGGCTCTGCACCTAGACGGAGACTGGATGTGTTCCCAGGGCCAGGGACAACTGTGGGGGGGATTGGGGGAGGGGGAGGGGACGGAGAGGGAGAGGCCCAGGCTGCAAGCATGGACCAGGAAAGGGACAGAAGAAAATGCCCCTTCCACTAGGAAGTTCAGAGAAGCACTCCCTCTGGGGCCTGCGCCAGTGGGGTGGGGGGGTGGGGGGGGGACAAGGAAAAGGGAAGTTATTTCAGGCCCAACATACCCCCACTGGCATTCAAACAAATGATTGGGATATTGGATTTGTTTGGGTTGAGGAGGAACCAGAGACCCAGATATAAATCCCATCTGGGGAGGCACAGAAGTTGAGGTGGCTTCTCTTCTGAAGGTTGATTTATAATGAAGTCTATACAGGATTTTCTGATGTTGATATCAGAGCCATTCTCGGGCTCACCCCTACAGGAAATGTGCAAGGCTGGACACAGGCTGGTCCAGGGGTAGAGACTAGACTAGGAGACCCTTTGCGTTCCTCCTCCAACCTGGAGTCCTCCAATCACAGCTCACCAGAGGGGAAGGCCTGCAGAATAGGAAACAGGCCCAGAGAGGAGCCACACGTCCAATGGCTTTCTCACACAGCTGCCTCCCACCTGCCTGCACAGGCCCTAGCTGGATTCCAGGTCTCACTCAGCTAAGGGAACAATCTAGAGCTTAGACCCAAGGCCTTGGCAGCTACTTGCAGTAGGTGGGTGGGGAGGGTTGGTTATGGCTCGGAGCTGCCTCTGCCATAAGGCTCTCTGCCCGGGAACATCTGGACGTGGGAGCTGCAGGGGCGGGGGGCTCAGCTGTGCTCTATTCAGAAGTCAGGAATGTAAACTACTGGGGATGGGAAGCAGAGATGATGTCACCCCCAGAAACCCCAAGTGCCGTGCTAAAGCCCTGGGGCAGTTCAGAACAACCATGCAAGCAACCAAGTGTGTGCTCCCAGCCCAAATCCGGAACCCAGAGCCTGGGCCAGATAGCCAAATAGTGGCCCTGGATGGCACCTGGCCCCACTGGCCAGGGCAGGGCAGAAAGGATGCCAGGAATCTCTGCAAGTCCTGGCCATACCCCCAACATGCCTGATGGCCCTTCTGCAGCCTGAGCAGAAGCATGTTTCTTGGCAGGATTGGGCAATGATGGACTGGGCGGGCTAGGAGGGACAGTGCCCTGGCCCGGCAGGCCCTAGGGTGCACTTCTCCTGTAGAGGGTCACCAGCTCCTTCCGCTTCTCCTGTAGCCCAGGTGATTCCTGGCTCAGCTCTTCCAGACCTCTGATTTCCTGTAGGACTTGGGTGGCCTGCCTCAGCTGCTCCACAGCCTGACTGAGCAGTGTCTCAGCACTTACGGGGGCCGGCTCACTGTCCAGCACCTTGTTCAACAGTTTCTCCGTCTGTTCTGAGGCCACCTTCACCTCCAGCTGGGCCCGATACAGCCGTTCTCCAGGCTGCCGTGGACGCCGGGGGCCTTCCCCAAGCAGGTCCCCCAGGGAGGAGCAGCGGGGATGGGAATGAGATGGCAGGTCCCAGCGGGGCAGTGCTGTGCATGTTGTTGCATCCTCTGGGGGAGTTTCTGAGATGCCCGAGGCCTGGGGTGGCTGGATGGGCTCGGGACTGTCATCCATGCCATTCACTGAGATCTCTGCTGGATCTGGGGCAGAGATCTCAGAGGTCTCATGACTCTGGGCTGGCCCAGAAGCCCCCATCCCACTCATGGAGGCTCTCAGTTTCTCTGATAAGATCTTGGGTGGGGGTGTAGGGGGCTTCCCACCCTCCTTGGGCAGAGCCTCAGGAGTCTCAGAGCGGGGCACCTGGAGTTCTGTACTCTCAAAGTCAGGGGGATCCTTGGGGTTGGCGTTCTCCCAGCTCACTTTCAGTTTGTCAGGCAGGACCCTGTTGGAGGGCTGCTCAGAGCCACTGTCCTCCTGTACTGGAGTCTCTGAGTCCTCTTGGGTCCCAGGGTGGGACTCAGACCTTGCTGAGATAGGGGCTGGGGCTCCCTCCCCAGCAGGGGTCTCCACGCTGTCACCAAGGCTGGTCGTCTCAGGCGCTGGGGAAGGCTTGGTAGGAGGCATAGGGGGCTTGAGTGTCTCCCGGGGCTGGGCTGCACTGACATCATTGCTGGGGGCAAACACCGGTGGCCCACTATCTGGAACTTCGAGGTCGAGGCGCGAAAGCCCATCAGAAGCTGCGTTGGCTACCTGGTAGGGGACAGTATATGGGCATCATCTTGGATGACTGGCATTTGGGTTCAGATGTGCCCACCCATAAGGGTACTCAAGCCTCCCCATCCAGGCTGTCCAGGCCCCCAGCCCTCCACTCTCTGCCCTGGCTTCCAAGGCCACGTGATTAGAAGCTAAAATGATACTCTGATGAATCCTCTCCTCTCCCTCACTCCCACAGAACTCCCTGTTTTAGAATCACAGGCCAGGAAGTCAGAGCCTAGTCCTCTTGGTGCCCCCCAGCCTGTGAAAGAGACTGCTTTTTAGTGACAACTATACTGGCCTGGGCAGCAGAGGACATGGTTCCAGCCCTGCTTCTGACCCCTTTCTGGCCGTCTGGCCTTGGGAGGATCCCGTCTGTGCAACCACCCACTCAGGGGGGCAACGGGACCAGGACTCAAGCATGGTCTCCCGAGTTGTCTCGAGCCCACTCACTTCTGCTTCCCCTCCTTGGAGACTGCTGTCTGATGTGCCAGCCTCACACCCAGCCCTCCAGCCCAGATCTCTGCGGACTTTGCCTGCCCAGCTGCTCAGCAGCCAGCGCCTCCTCTCCTCATGCCATCAGATGTGGCCCCAGACCACAGCTGACCGCCAGAGGAGGACAGCTGCACCAAGTAGGCAGCTGCCCCCTCACCTGGCCCTAGGGACCCACAGGAATACCCAGCAGCCCCATAGGGATGGAGACCCTCGCAGGGAGCCTCCGAGGCCCTGGAGCAGGGCTGGGCAGGAGGCCTCTCCCAAGGTCCCTCATGGTAGGGGTCTTGGCTGGGACCCCCACTCCCTTTTACCATGCACACAGGTATCTGGGCAACACATACGCTCACTCGGTCACTGGGACATGAGTCCCTCCCTGAATTCTTCTCAGAGGGTCCCTCCCTCCAAGGCCAGCCCTCCCCCAACACCCAACCCTCCCCTCAAGCATTCCCTTTCTCTCTGGCTACGTCAGTCCTTCCTTCTGCAGGCTTTATTCCCTCAGCTGACAGGCATGAACAGGCTGTCTCATTTCAGAAAACAAACTCTCCAATGACCTTGGCCCCTTCTCTTCTCCCTCTTCCCTACCATGGTCCCCTTCCCTCTGGCAACCCCAGCTCTGTACCCCTTGACAAACCTAAGCCAACTCCTTCTCTGAGAAAATTTATGCAGTAAATGTCACCACCTGCCCCTTTCCCCAGTCCTGCCTTTGTGACTTGTGGCTGCCAACCTGGCTGATAACCCCCACATCCTGTGCCCTTCTCTCTCTCCAGATGTGCCATTTGCCTCTCTGGCTTCCTCTTCCTTGGCTCTCGACTGCCCGGCCCCCACACCCCAAATGTAGCATTTGCTAAGATTCTTTCCTAGCCTCCAAAATCTTTCCCCCTAACACCCACCCCCATCAGCAACACTGGTCTGAAAAAGGGCTCCTCCCTTACTCCTCACCCTGCGCATAACTTCTCCCAAATTCCCTGTCCCCAGGGCCTCCGTTCACCCAGTTGGCAGGCTTGGGTCTACCTCTGCACCACCCTCCCCTCTGTCTGGAAGGCTTCCCCTAGCACCATATTCAGTGGCAAGCCCAGATGGCTCTCCCATTGTCCCCTCCCTCTTCATCCCCTCCTGGAGCCTGGAGGGCCCACCTCCTCCCTCTTCTTAGCTCCTTGCCTTTCCCTCCCTTAACCCAACCCACCATACCCTGGGCCTCAACTGACCTCTGGAACACACCCTCCCATGCATTCTGTTCCCAGCTCCAACAATCAAGGCCTCCACAATTTCCTCCCATCAACAAACCTTCCTAGACTCATCTCCCCATCAAAGGGACTTGGTACACTCCAAACTCTCCTGCCTCAGCTCAAATCATTCCCTCGGCCAGGGCCTCCCTCACATCAAGTCTGCCAACTGAAACCCTTCCCATCCTTCAAGGGTTGGTTCAAATGCCAATGGGCCCTCCACGGTCTCTCCTGCCTGGCCTCTCAGAGTCCTCCTCTGTACAGAAGTTAGACACAACTCTGCTTGGAGCAGTCTGCGGACAGGTCTTTTCTCTGGGTGGAAGCTGAGCTCTGAGAGGCAGGGACTAGCCTCAGGGTCTCAGTTTCCCTCAGGTACCAACTCTGGATAAGGCCAGTGTGCAGACTCAACAAGCAAAGCAGGCATATCACCCCCCCCCGCAATGAGCACATATAACACATAAGCTTCCACACACAGACACGCTGCATACCACTCAGGAAGCCCCAACTCCAAGAGTCCTCAGAAAAAAGATGGCCCCAAGCTTGGCTGCCACCCTAAGGAGCTGGGATCCCAGGCTCAAATGACCTCCTACCTGTCTAAGCCGGGGGCAAAGTCTTACCTCCTTCAGGTGTACTCTTGTAGGTGGCCGGCGCCGCTGGCCCCCACGCACCCGGTCCCGTGTCACATGCTCCAGGGCACAGCTCTTGTCCACTTTCACCTGGGAAGAAGGAACAAGGTCAGTGCCCACCAGGGAGAGGAAGAAATGCCCAGGCATTAACCCGACTCAGAGGCAGGGTCTATACCTACATCTTCCCTGTAAAGGGGCAGGGCCCTACCACTGGCCCTCTCTTTGAGGCATCTCCCTGTGTCTGGACTTCTGCTTTTCTTCCTGTCCCTACACTGCCTTTGTCATCTCTCGGCAGTCAGAGGCTCTCCCTCTCTGCCTCAGTTTTCCTGCCTGGATATGGGCTATCAGCCCTCACCCTTCAGTCTACTGCAAATATATACAAGCAGCCCTGAGGCTGCTGTTATGCTTAGCTAGGGGAGCAGGGAGAAGGCAGCCCATGATCCCCTGGTGCCTGGCTTCCAGAAAATGGCCCCAGTCACTCTCCTAGATCCCCTGGAAAAGAAGAAAGCCCAGGAAAGAGCAGGGCCTCTGCCCCTTTGGGCCAGGGTGTCTAGAGGAGAGCATATCCTCTCTGATGGTAAGGAAAGATGGAGTACCTGGGAAGCCAAAGTAAATAAGACTCTGAACCACAGTGCAGCCTGTCCTTGATGGGGAATGTAGCTAAGACTCTTTAACCCTCAGGTCAGGCTCAAGGTCAGGCCCACCCTCGATGGGGGCAGGGGCGAGGTTCAACAGTCCCTGTTCCTGACTGCTCCACCAAGACTGTGGGCTGACAGCAGCCCACCTTTCTGTGGCCTCCAACACCCATGATATGTCCCATCACCCCTCACCCATGAAATGGGGATATTTTCTCCAGCTAGTAAAGGGCTGAGCATAATCTCATAAAACATGACATAGGAGTCACGGCTGTGAGTCAAGAGACCTGGGTGTTAAGAAGGACTTACTTGGGAAGATTCCTTCCCTCAGGTCTTAGTCTTCTGCAATCCAAGGGGTCAGTTTAGGTGGCCCCCAGGTCCATTTTAACCCAAATAGCTATGAATCCATGATGTCAAAGATAAATCCTCCCTAGGAGATCTGGGCCCATGGGATACCCTGCCTACTGCAAGCCTGATCACAGCCATTGTTGCCACAGGTCATACTATATAGTACAGGGGGCCGGCTGGTCATTGCCGACAGATGGGGAGGCCCAAGGCCAGAGCCAGCCTGGCCTGGACTTGACTGAAAGCTCTTAGCTCGGCGCCCCCAGACCTCTCTGGCCTGGGCCCACCGGCTGTTTTCAGCTGAGGCGGGGTTGGAAAGGCTGCATGGCTGCCACTAGTTAAATTCTACTCTATCACTTACTCACTTTTTAATTTAAAACAAATTAATTTACTGACACCTCAGTTTCTTCATCCTTAAAATGGATACACTACCACCTACTCTGAGGGTTGCTGTGACTATTACTAACAATAGTAGATGTCCCAGTGTTTGTAGCAGTGACATAATCAAGGGACTGTCTGAGGTGGGGCAGGGGATCCTCTCTGAGATCACACATGGTGGGAAAGGGGACACAGATCCATTCACAGGACTGCATCGCACCTCATCGAAAGCCTTGTTCTTGCCTCGGTTGATCCCTTCATTGAGGGCTTTGATCCAGGATTCCTTCTCCTCTCCACTGGTTGCTTGAAACTTGATGTCGCTGACCTGCAGGGGACATGGATAGGGTGGATGTTTAACAGAATTCACATTTGGGGTCTTAAGGAAGCTTCCCATCCCAAATCCCAAAGTCTGCCCTGGCACAGCTGGCCAGGAACAAACTGAAATGACCCCCACAACAGATCTGACACGGGGCTTCGGGGGAGGGGAGGAGACAGATCCAGCAGAGAAGGGGCTGGCTCTCAGCATGATGCGGCCAGAGATCTGGATTAGAATCCACCTTGCCCTGTGGTAAGAGCCAAGATCTGGTCTTACTCCATTTGGCTTCCCCAGACCAGCTGCCTGTTTTCTCCATAAAGTAGGAGTTATCCCAGTATACATCCACACCAGGCTGAGTACAGTGACAGAGGTGACAGGTGTGACAACTGTCCATCGGTGAAGACCCCCTGGAACTAGGGCCACATGCAGCTCCCCAGGGGCCCCCACTCAGCCCTGGCCAAGTGAAAAAGTCCTAGGGTCCCCTTTCTGGCCTTGAATCATAGACCATACATGAGAAAGGGCCCTGGGAGTCAATTCCAACCCCCTCATCGTACAGATGAGGAAACAGAGGCTCACAGATGGGATGGGACTTGGCCAAGGTGACCTAAAGTAATCCCAAGACTCCTGATTCTACAGCCCACCCCACCCCAGGGGTCCCTCTCATCTTAGGCAGGAGCTCCCAGCTCATACATGAGAATCAGAGAGGGGCACCTGGCTGGCTCAGTGGGTGGAGCATAAGACTCTTGATCTCAGGGTTGTGAGGTGTTTTTTTGTTTGTTTGTTTTTAAGATTTTATTTATTTGTCAGAGAGAGAGACAGAGAATGAGCGCACACAAGCAGGGGGAGTGGCATGCAGAGGGGGAGGCAGGCTCCCTGCAGAGCAGGGAGCCCGATGCGGGACTCGATCCCAGGACACTGGGATCATGACCTGAGCCAAAGGCAGACGCTTATCCTACTGAGCCACCCAGGTGTCGCTCAGGGTTGTGAGTCTGAGCCCCACGTTGGGTGTAGAGATTACGTAAAAATAAAAATTTAAATCTTGAAAAAAAAAAAAATAATCAGAGGGCAGCTTAGAGAGACCCCTCCCTGTCAGGCTCCAAGGTCAGACAGGAAATGGTAGAAGTAGCAAGGCCACACAAACTGAGGGGCCATTTTGCACAGTGGATATCATAGCAGCAGGGCCTCTAAATTGGACAGAACACCTCTTACAGCTGGCTGACCTTGAGTCTCAGTTCCCTCATCTGTAAAAGGTCAAAACCGCCACAGCCTGCCTCACGGAGCTGTGTAGGTCAAATACGTATCTAAAGTGTTGAATCTGGAGCTGGGCACAGAGTGAGTGCTCAGTAACAGGAATTATCACCACTGCCTTCCTTCTGACAAAACAGTCCCAGTTTCCTCATCTGGATAAAGGGATCATGCCTACCCCAAAGCAATGCTGAGGGAATTAAACATGACTAAAGCCAGGGCCCCGCACACAGTAGGTATTCAGTACATAGTTATTGAATGAATGAGCCAATAAATGAATGAACTGGCCCACAGTTCCTTCCTTTGCCCCATTTTGGGCCACTGCCCACTCTGACCTCAAGATGCCCCAGTTCTTGGTCGGGCGGGTCGCCAGCCTGCCCATCCCCCACCCTGGTGTTAGACAGCGCCTTCCCTCCTGCCACCCTCTACGTTATGTAACCCCACAGTCCGCCTGGCCCCTGCAGCATCCTCGTTATATAACTTCCTCCTGGCTGCCGCCTCCTTCTCCTCATACAGAGCCCTGGGTCCCACCCACCTCCCCATGCCAGGCACAGCCAAATGCTCATTTGCATGACCAGGGTAAATTCAATCCTGGCAGCAGATCTGCAGTTAAGTCAGAAACCCCAGGGCACCTTGGCAACTGCCTCTTAGCCCAGCCATCAGGGCTGCAGGGGGCTCAGGGAGGGACAGCGGCTACATCCAGGCTCTGCAAGGGCCCACCCAACCCTGTGACAGGGGCTGCCAGAAAGGCGGCCCAGGTCCAGCCCCTTGGAGCCCAGCTGCTGCTCCTTCTCGCAGTCCCCGAGGTGGTGGGGCCCCTGCTTAGTGCAGGATTTAGCATGCCGGGGAGCTGCAGAGGCGTATACTTGAACTCAGCCGCAGATGAGCAAGAGCAGGGCAGAGAAAGAGCACCGGCCTGGGAGTCAAGCTAGAAGAGTTCTAGTCCCACCAGTCGGCAATGCACAGGCCTGTTCACTACTCAGGGCCTCAATGGGACAGGATCAGAACCACTGTGCCCAGCCCAAGCTGCAGTCCTTCCCCACAGGCCAGCCCACCTGAGGCAGGCTCGGGGGTTGGAAGGGGGTCAACCTCTGTTCTCTTCTGCTCGCTGTGAGGGAGAAGGCCTCAGGAAGACCTACATCCTAGCCAAAGGGATCCCCTGGGAGAGCAAATACGTGGTTAAATGGGACCCAGTCGCACTCTAAGCAACCCTGTTATCTTGGCTGAATGAGCCAGGCATCCTGCAAGGGGGACCAGAATGGGGACAAGTGGAATACCAAGAAGTTGTTCCTCTTGCCCCACTCCTGGCCCTGTGTCCTGAAGAGCCACAGGCCGCACAGATCCCTCTCAAGCCCTTCCAAGAAGCCCCAGGGGCACAGGCACTGCTAGGAGTTTCACAGCTAACAGGACTGGCCACAGAGTAGGCCCCCATGACCTGGGAAAGCCGGGAGAACAAAATGGCAGGGAGGAAAAAAGTGGGAGGGGGAGAGAGGCAGCAGGAAAGAGGAACGGGCCAAGCTGGCCGCGACCAGCAGGGCAGCAAGGCCCAGCGAGGCCACCCTGCTTCCTGGCAGTGTCCGCCTGTGACCTCATGGCAAGGGCGTGGGGATGGGAGGCGGGGGGAGAGGGACATGCGAGACACTGGAGTCTTTGTTTATTTGATTAGAGGGGGGGGAAAAGGCGGCCTCAGGACCAGACAGCCAGGGTCACGTGACCTCCTGGCCGGCTGGCGGCCTCACTGAGGATGGAGAACACCCAGGGCGATAGGAAAGGAGGGTAAGAGGACGAGAGGGGCATGGTGCTCTGGGCGGCTCACTCTCTGACTTCCGGAGAGCCCCGCTCTCTGTATGAGTTCCTCAGGTGGTGAGAGTCAGGGCAGTGGAACCGGATGTGCTGTCCTCCCACCATCCTGCAGCCCCCAATACTTGCTCCGTAGCCCCATCTCCCCGACTTACCGTCCTGTTCCCAGAGTCACCCAGAGCCAACCTGAACTCTTGGCAGGACTGGGGGATGGAAGAGAGGGTGTTGGCCAAAGCAGCTAAGAATGCAGCTGCACAAACAGGCCTCTCTGAAGGTGATGGCCCACCCTGAGCGGGGCCCGACCCGCCTAAGCACACCACCAGCTGATTGTCAGAGCTCGGGAAAGGCCCACAGAACAGCACTGGCAGAGGACAGAGAAGCATGGCCCTACCCCCCCACATCCACATAAGCTCACTCGGAGACACGCAAAGCCCCAGACAGACCCATGGTCAAGTGAACACTCACCTGCATATAAAGAGGTACACACACTCATGTGCCAGACCTCCACACACAATGTGCTCTGCATGTCACTCATTCACACTCACACGACAATGACTGCTCAGAGAGAAAAGTAGGTCTCCAGAACAGGGAGGGGGCTGACGGGACGGAAAGACCAAAATATGGCTCTCCTCTTCCTAAGAGCCCTAAGCAGCAGATGTCAAGTGAAACCTGGGTCCAGCCGCATGAACTGTCACAGCACCATAAACCTGGACTTATCCCTCAATTCCCAGAGTTCCACAGTTGCCTCCGTGCCCCACCCACTGCAGAGTTGGACAAAGGGTCAGTGAGTTACACATCACAGCCCCCTCCAGAGCCCAGAGCCCTGGGGATCAAGAGGATTTAGGCTCCTGGCCCTTAAAGCTGGGGGAGAACAGAATGGCCTCCAGCAGGCCTAGACCAGATGCTCCCCAACCCCCAGCCTCTGTGACTCAGCCTCACTCTGAGAGGCTCCGCGTGACGTGCAGGGGTTGGGGTGAGGCGTGGCCCGGCTGCAGACGGGCGCGAGTTGGAGAGGGGCTGTACACGCCAGCCTCAAATCTGAACTCCCTCCTGACATCTGTGAAACTATACCATGCATCAACACCCACCAGAGAAATGTGGTGTAAACAGCAAACATCATCTGCACACACAGCGTGTCCCAGGGGAAGAACCTCCCAGGCAAGAGACCTTCTCCAGCTTCAGCCAAGAAAGGGAAAGTGCAAAGGGAGGAAAGGTAGGGGGCTGCAGGTCTCTGAGCACTGAGTCCAGGATGGAGGCAGGAGGGGTGGCCCACCCACAAAGGCCTGAGATGAAGTGGAGGTCACAGCCTCTCCTCCGCCCCAGACAACATCAGGGTACTGCAGGCCTGGCGAGCTGAAGGCCTCATTCCCAGCTTTTCTGTCTCAGCCCTGTGCCTCATGTGTCCAGGGTGTGGGGGCAGGCCAAGGGCCCCACCTCTAACTACAGCCTGGGAAGGAGGCCCCAGGAGCCTGGAAGCGGGGAGGGGACCAGACCTCTCAGCAGAGCCCTAAATGCATCAACCAGGGGCTGGGGAGACTCCAGGCCAAAAGGAGTAAAAGGTCCAACCGGTGGCAGCCCCTGGGTCTGAGCCTCAGCCACACTCCAGAGACCCTCCAGAGGCTATATCCAGGGGCCCAGCCTGCCTTTGAGAGCCTTCCAGGGGTAATCTTCCCAAACCAACCCAGGTCCGGAGGGAGGTCAGGCAGCAGTGGGCATAGCCCTACCTTGTTCCCTGGGGATCGCTGTAGGATAAATCGGTGTTTCCGCTTGAGGAGGGCACGAAGGTCCTGGCACTTCTCATAGCTGCCCAGCTCCACTGTCTCCACACACTTCTGCTCGTCCTGGGGAGGGAGATAGAGGGGACATGAACTGGTGAGAGCCAGACACATCCAGATCCTCAAACACCCAGGTCCCACCTCAGACCCTGATCTCAGTCACTGAGGGCTATCACTCGGTCAGAAGGCAGCCTTGGGCTGCCAATCAATCACCAAGATGTGGTATTCGGACCCCAGCAAGGAGACAGTGTTCAGTCCATGCTGACTGGAAGGATGCCTTCAAGGCTCAGCATCCACATGAGAAATGGGGCACCCAGCCCGGAGGTGGGTAGCAGGGCCGACTCAAATGCCTAAGGCCAAAGGAGGAAACAGCGGAAGCTGGAGAGACTTAGGAAAGGGTACCTGAGGGTCCATGCAGGCCCAGAGCCTGCTCAGAGATTTGTGGAAGAGGTAGTCTAGAAGAGGGAGCAGGATGTCACAAAATGAGGAAAAAAAAAAAAAAAGGCTTTCCAGGCAGAGCCACAGAGGGAAGTGTGAACTAGGCACATTTGGGTTTGCATGCCCTACCTTTACCACAGTGATCCTGAACTGACTTCCCCACTTGGCATCTTCCTCCGCTGACCCTTGGCTTGGTGGAAAGGCCACTTTCCATGGCCTGCACAATGGAGAGGGCAAGGGTTCCTTCGAAAGCAATCCCCCCACTAACCTGCTACCCTGAGGCCTCGTCACTAAGAAGACAGAGGCCAGCCTTTTCTAGGCCACCCCTGGACACTGGCTGGGCTGCCTTCCTGCCCACCAGCCCTGGCACTGGAGTATTTTCTCCATGTGGGCTCTACCCACCAGGTGCCTTTCCAGCAAGCTGCCTGGGACAAGCTCCCCACTCCGGAGTGGCCAATTCCTTCCTCTTCCAGGGGAGACCCAGCTGGAACAACGTCTCAGCATGCTGCACTCTCGCCCTTGAGCATCCAGGGCCGAAAAAGCACGCCCTGGGGGTGGGGGTTGGAGGGGAGAGCTGTCCTAGAGGCTGGCCAACAAGTTAAGGACATGCTTGCTCTTAGACCTCACTCAGAGAGCCAGCAAGAGCACCCACCAGGGACCGCCTAGGTGCTCTGCAGTTTTTGGTGGAATATCTGAGAGGCAGTGACTCAATGTTTGCAGAGGAAATGCCCTGATTTCCCTCCATGATAATCCGCGTATGTTAAGAACCCCTGACACTTAGCAAGCACTTTTGCTTCTCTGATTCTCCTGAGCCTCTAAATCATCCTGAATCAAGCTTAGAGCCCCAGTATTTGCCTCACAGTATACAGGAAGAGAATGAGGCCTGGAGGCGAACTGATTTGCCCAAGGGGCACAGACACAAATGTAAGGGGCAGGGCCAAATGCAAAGCTACACTTTCCTCCCTTTGGACCCAAATGCAAAGCTACTTCCTGCCTCCTAGGCCAGAGCTCTTTCTAGCACACCACACTCCTTCCAGCCACAGTCAGAGGCTTGGTGATCAATGCCTTAGCAACAGGTCACACTCTGTCTCAGTGGTCCTCCAAGTGTGGTACCTGGGCCAGCAGCAGCAACATCACCTGAGAACTTGTTAGAAATGCAAGTTCTCAGATCCCATCCCCACTGAATCATAACCGTAGGAGAATGGGCCTAACAGTTTGATGATTAACAAGCACTTCAGTTGATTCTGATGTATGCAAAAGTTTGAAAACCTCTGCTCTACCACCAGAGCTTCTCAACCATGATAGCACCTGGGAGCTTTAAAAACCCCAATGCCCAGGCAACATCTCAGACCAGTTTCATCAGGCTCCGGGGGATGGAGCCCAGGCGTCTGTATTTTTCAAAGGAGATGGCTGTATAGCGAAGGGCAGTAACCACTGACCTGCTCTCTGTTTGGGCCGTCAGGGGAAAGATGGCAAGGGTGGCCTGATCTTTCCCATCCAGGTTCAGTTAAAATGTCTTTTCCAATTTTTGCTTCCAAGCATCTCTTTCCAACCCCTAGTCTCCAATCTTTCCAAGTTCCTCCACTCCACACAAGGGCTAGTAAGACCCACCTGCTCCAAAAAGCGCCCCTGCCACACCCCCAAGCCTGAGCCTTGGTGCTTTCTCGCTCCTCTGAGGTCCCCCATCCACAGAGCACCTGCCAGGCACACGCACTGTACACGGTGCTAGGGGCACCCTGCCACGGGGAAGAACAGTCCTGACTCCCTGCTGGGCATCTCTCTCTACCCCGTGCTGTGTGTCTGGTTCCCCTTACAGCACCCTACCAAAAGGCAGCCCTCAAGAGGGACACACATAGGACTAGTTTGCTGGACTGAATGCCTGACCCAGGGTGAGACTCCAGAAGGTCCCCTCCTACCTGCAACCAGAGAAAGGAAGCTGCCTGGGGAAGGATGCCTGGTCCCAGAGAGAGCAGCTCACCTGCCCCATGTGCGCAGGCCTCCCTCAACTGGACAACTACTGGCCCAAACACACTCTCCTCCGTCTGGGAATAAAAAGTCAGTCCATCCCCACCACCCTGCTCTCCCCAGGGTTGCCTGACCTGGGTCTCCTCTCCACCCGAAACGCTGAATCATCTGGCCCTTCTGCAGCTCAGAAAAATGGATAAACCAGCAGGCACTGGGCGGGGGCAGCATTTTTTGAATGTCAGCCTCACTGACAGCAAAGAAACAGCCAAGAGCCATTTGCACTCGCCTAGTTCCTGACATCAGAAAGAGGAATTGAACCCATAAGCATTTCTCAATTCCTGCTCCTGGGCCAACCTTCCCTACCCCCCAAGTGCGAAGTTCTTGAAACTGCATGGAGGTTTTTAATAGTGACTTTTTTTAAAAGCCTGATTTAGATGTTTCATGTTTATGGGATGTGAAATCCTTCCTGCTTCCCAGTTGTGGCCAGATGTGGAGAGAGCGCCCAGGACAAGTCTGGCAGTGCCTGACAGGCTGACAGCTTGGGGGCTTGTCATTCAACTCCTATGGCAGCTGGGACCAAAGGAAGCTGTGACAACTGCCTGTATTTATAAAAATATCCCCCTGCTGCCCTATAGCACATCCTAATTTGGTGACAGCAGCAGTAAGGAACATCTGGGGGGCTGTCTGCATATTTCATTCCCTTGTCTTCCTCCAGCTTCTTCTCTGACACCCCAACTCCATGAGCCTGGGGACTCGGACAAGAAAGGCAAGGTGCTTCACAAAGGCAGTTCCTCTATACAGTTAGATCTGGTTGCCCAACCTTTCTTGGCCTGGGACAGTTAGGAATTTGCCAAGATAACCTGAGGGATGCTGAGAAAGGATGGTGGGGAACAGGCAGGACCCCTCTTCTTCTGCCCCCAGGCCAGTTCTGCCCCATGTATTCCATCTGTCAAAGGCACGCAGCGAGAGCCCATTTTCCATGGATGGGCCTTCTGGTGGCCTCAATCCCAGAACACAAACGGCAGCTACAAGTAAAAGCCACCTTTTCTCCTCAGATCTTCCCCCAGAGCTTTATCAACTCTTACTTAACACACAATTTTAACATCCTCGGTTGTCCAAGTTCCTAGCCTGCTGAAATGAAAAGGGGCGCAAGCCTGAAGTGGGCAGCTCTGAGGATTATGAGAGGCACGCGGGCGGCAGAAGTGGAGACTGGCGCTTGGTGTTAAAGCAAAAAGGAAAGCTGAAGAGTACAGTCTGGCAGGATGGAAGAGTGTGATAAGAGGTGACTCAGAGCCACCATGGAAAGACTCACTTTTAGTCCCAACACCTTCTGTTGAAGAAGGTAGAGAATAGTCAACATATTTTAGTGGATTTCCACCAAAAATAAGTTTTAGAGTTTACTTGTCAGAATCTATGGGTAGAAAGAGCTCTGGATTTGGTCTGGGTCCCAACTCTTCCATTCACTGAGATGCCGACCAGTCACTGGCTCCCTAGGGCCTCAGTATCTCCCTCTTGGGACATGATGACACTCTCATGGGACTACTAACGAGCCTCATACAAGAGATATGGAAAACCCCAAACAAGCATGAGCACAAAATATTTCTATTCTCATTGCTGAATGGAACAAGCTTTAGCTTTCTGGAACATTCACTGATAGGGCATCTAGCCCAATGACAAGGAGTTACAGTATAGGTGTACACTGAGGAGACACACACGTCCCTGTGCACATACACTTCAAAGAGCCCCTCATCCAGGAGTACTAGACTTGCACCTAGAGGTATCATCCCCACACCACGAAGACCCAGAGAAGATCAGGCACTCGCCCAAGGAGTCAGGTCTCAAACCAAATCCAGTTACACAGCATGTCAAGAGTGGAGCAGGTGTTCCTGCGCCAGTTCTGGGATCTTCCTGCTGGCCTGGGCTGCCATCCCTTTGGCCCCTCCCCCAGCACCCCCAACCACAGGGCCAGGTGCGTCTTTACCTCGTTCTCGTAGACCAGCAGCTGGGCCTGGCAGAGGAGCAGATACCGGTCTTTCCAAAGCCCCAGGAGGCCACCGCTGCTCTTCTTGATCCAGCCAGCCTTGTCTGCCCTCCGTGCTCCCCGAAGCTTCTCGCCCCCTTCCTTCACACCCTGTAAGATAGCACCAGGACATGCCATGAGGGCTGCTGCCATGGGGCCACACTGTCCAATGGCTGCACGAGGGATGTGTCCCTCTATTGGGTCCCTCTTCATATCATCCCACATGAGCTTCCCCACAACCCCCAAGGCAGATATCCTTAATCCAATGTCAGAAAGAACAGGAATAGGGGTGACTGGGTGGCTCAGTTGGTTAAGCGTCTGCCCTCGGCTCGGGTCATGATCTCAGGGTCCTGGGATCGAGCCCTGTGTCAGGCTCCCTGCTCAGTGGGGAGCCTGCTTCTCTCTCTCCCTCTGCCCCTCCCCCTGCTTATGCGTGCTCTCTCTCTCAAATAAATAAAATCTTAAAAAAAAAAAAGATCAGGAATAACAGTAACAACAACAATAATAATAGCAACAATAATAATAATAGGCCCCTCAATACTGAGCCACCAAATTATGTTTTACACACATCATCCCACTTAACGCATATAACTACTCTCTGAGGTGGTAGCATCGTTATCCACAGGGTACAGGCAAACTGAAGCTCAGAGAGGAGATGACTTGCCAGAGTCACACGGTAGAAGGGACAAACCCAGAATTCAAACCAGGTCCCTGACCCCATGTTCTTCCAGCTCCACCACTCTGCCTCTCATGGATTCATTCAACCAGTCAACAAACGCTACACTGAGTACCCACAATGTCACGGGTGCTAGAGTAAGCAGGGAAGAAAAAAAATAATGCATCTCTGTCCTCACAGAGCCGGCAATGCAGGGAAGGAGGAGCCGAACAAATACATTAATAAGCATGAAACACTACGAAGGGAACAGTGAAGGGGGCGGGAAGAAGAGGGGAGTGAGAGAGGACAGTGGGGGACCTGGCTGAGGTCTGGGTGGCCCAGGAAGGCATCCCAGGGGAGAGGACGTTCAGGCAGGAGCAGAAGGATGGGAGGAAGCAGGCAGGTGGTGGTCATCTGCCTCTCCACCCCTGCCCTTCAAGAGAACCCATTCTGCAGCCTGTTTCCTGCCCCAAAGCAGGAGGTCCTCTGCTCCTAGCACCACCACAGGCCAGGGCTTGGGGGTGGCCATCCACCTGGTAAGGGCTCCAAGGATTCTGCCTTCAACCACAGGCTGGTACAAGAGGTAAACTTGAGTCCTCTTCTCGGACATGGGCAGCCACCCTGGAGCCTCTAGGACAGCCGCTGACATCTCGTGGCCTCGATTATCTGCTTAGGTAGCTGGCTGTCGGTACATGCCTATCAGATGGGGTCGTATTTACCTCTGGTCCCCAGCACCTAGCACTGTTCCTTTACACATAATGGATGCTCAAGAGATATCTGTGAAAGGAAAATAAAAATACACCAATTTGCTCACCACTTTGCTTCAGTGACTGGTGCCCACAGCAGTGAGTGTGAAGGGGAGGGTAGAAGAGGGGAGGTCAAGAGCATGTCAAATCTAGAGGATACTAGAAGGAAATTGCACTGACTAATTTTGACTACTTCATAATTTACATAAAGTTCAAAAAAGGGGCCCCAGTTAAAAGGAGCATGCCTCTCCCCAGGGATACCCTGTGGCCACAGCTGCCTTTGGAAGAACAAGCCTGGGCAAAGTGTGGTGAGCTGTCAGGGGCTGGGCAGGGCACTGCCTCCTTGCTCTCTATCCTGGCAGGGGAGCCCCAGCCTGGTGGCCCCGCCCCTCTGAACTGCACACTCTTGTGGTTGAGAGTCCGCTTTGAAGCCCAAGTCACACAGACCGAAGGCAAGCCACTTAATCTCTCTCTAAGCCTTAGTTTCTTCATCTAAGAAATGGAGATATACCAGAAGTTGCAAGGATTTTAACTCCATGGGGGCAAGGATTTTTGCTTTGTTTACTGCAATATCCCCAGGGCCTAGACAGCATCTGGCATACAGTAGGTGCTCAACAAATGTTGAATAAAGATACGGCATATAAAGCAGTGCCTAGAACACCCTAAACTTAGGAATTGGTAGCTATCATTGTCATTGTTGTTGTCGCTGGCATTCCCTCTGGCTCTCAGGGACCCTTGCCCCCGGCCTGGTTCAGAATTTAGGAGAAGGCCTTTCTGGGCTTAGCTGCTGGGCTTCAGTACCCCCAGAAGCTCCAGGAATGTGGGGTGCCCCTCATCACCTCTCCCTAACTTGTAGAAGGCAGGAAGAATGGGGAAGTGAGATGGTCCCAAAGGGTCTTCCTGGATGGAGGAATGAAGAAGTGGGAGACTTGCCTATGGGCCAGTTATGAGCCACCCTGACCAGGGAAAGAGGGGACTTCAGCACCCTTCAACCCTTTCACATCCGATCATGCACCACCCCCAGCACCAGAGACCCTGTGTTCAGCCCCCATTAGCTACATGACCAGCAGGGGCCTCATCCCCCTCAGTGAGCCCTACAGGCAGGCCTGGGCCCAGGGCTAGAAGAGAAGTGAGAGATGGGAAACCCCATCCCATACTTCACACCCCTCCATCACCAACTGCAGTGCTGTTGGCCACCTCCTAGGCCTGCAGACTCTCGGTCTCTCTCAAAGCAGAGTAGGGACTGCGGAACGTGAAGCTGCTGCCCCGTCTCCCACTGCAGAGCTCCAAGCTTGCCTCCTGCTTTTCAGGGGCCCACACACCACCCCATGGGATCGCACACCCCTTTCTAAACTCTCTCCCTTTGTGACCTCCCCTGCCTGCCTCACCCACTGTCTGATATGTGAAAACTCCCTGTCAGCTGGAAGCTCCCGAGGGGCAAGACTGGAAGCTTGTGCCTTAACCGCTGTCCTCTCGGGGTGTAGCAGAGAGAACAGTGCCCAGTGAACACCAGGACTGAGTGAGCTACAGAAGCAAGTCCAGGGCCTTCAGGGATGGGTGGGAACAGGGTGGAATTGAGGAGAGAAGTTACTTTGGGGGTCGGGGGGGTGACAACGGAGGGGCTGGAGGGGGCATGAACCGAAGCCCAGGGAAGGGTCTTCTTGTCAGGAATCAGCCTCAGCAACAGCCTCCCAAAAGGGAGGCCTGGCTGGAGGCCAGAGTCCTGCTGGCCTACCACCCTCCACTCTGCCCCTCTCCCTGCCCCTCAGACACTCCTACCAAGGGGCCTGGCTATGCCCCAGTAAGTTTTAATAAGCGGCCCCTCCCCTTGGCAGGGCTCACAGGGGAGGTTTTGTCTCGCTCAGCCCAGTTTCTCGGCCTCCTCTCCTCTTATTGACCAGCTGACCAGTTCTTCCTGTTTCGCCCTCTCTCTTCCCACCCATCCTCACTCAGACCCTTCCCTGCCCACTGTGAGCAGCTCCTGAGGCATCCCTGAGCACCAGCCTGACTCCCCTTTGCCTGAGGTGGGGGGAATCTCTGGGTCATTCCTTTAAGGAAAAAAAAAAAAGATGCCAGGTCATCCTAACCCTGTGCACAGAAGGGAACAGGTGGAAAGCCACAACACAGGCCACGATAGACAGAGACGAGCAGAAGAAACCTTGATGGCACCCTACATCACAGAGAGCTTATCACCTTTGCCCTTGGACTAAACACAATGATATGCTGACCAGACTCTTCTAAGAACCCACCGTGTCAGAGGCTGGGATGGCGGTAACCAGAGAGGAAGCACACACAGGCTCTACCCGGAGGGAACTTCCGATCTGATGAGGGCAACACAGACCCTGCACAGGGAGTCTTCAGTGTGGAGGTGGGGAGGGTATCCCCTGCTTTCGAGCGCCCCAGGCTTTTGGGAGAACACAGGACCTACCCGGAGGGAAACCTCAGCCCTAGCTCTCTGGTGGGGTAAGGGCTTGGGGTTAGTTTGGGAAGCCCCTGGAGAAGCTAAGGTTTTAGTAGGAGAGTGAGAATGGAAAGAGACACACACCTTGACCCAGAGCAGAAGGAAGGACATGTAAGGTCTTTGAGACCCCCTCACTATTGAATGAGAAAGTACAGCCCAGAAAGGGCAAGAGATTAGCTCAAGGCCACAAAACCAGAACTGGGACAGGACACTGCCCTGCCTCTGTCTAGATGGATAAGGGGAAATGGGCAGCCTGGAGCCCATAGAGGCTGAGCCAGGGAAAGGCATGACTATGAGAGGGAAGGGGGTGGGGGGGCAGGACCCCAGGGCAGAGACAGGAAAGAAAGCCTAGGTTTGGGGTTTTTAACCTTACTCCAGTGGCAGCAACAATATCCCACGATATTTGCAGCTTTCAAAGCTTTTGCATGTATATCAATCACATTTGTGGATTGCCCACCTCCCTCATTTTATGGATGGGGAAACAGAGGCCCTGAGAACTCAGGTGGACAAATGCCCAGTGCCCAGACCTGCACTTCCTCACTAAGCCTCAGACTGAGGAGGACTACCAAGCTATTCCACAGAGGAGGCCACTGAAGCTGAGGGGGCTTGGCACCAGGGTAGCTGGGGCACAGGGAGAAAGCTCTAAGCTAGGGGGAGGGCTAAAAAACAGCCAGGTGAGGGGATGAGGTCAGCTTGAGGTCATGGGGCAGAGCAGGTGACTATGATCTAAGAGGTGTTTTAGAGAAACAAAGATGGGCACTGAGACCTACAGAAAAGTGATTAGAAGAAATGGGAGTAAAAGAATTAGGGATGCCTAAGGGGAGGTAGGAGATAGGGAGCCCCTGGCTGTGTGGGGAGGAGGTGGGCAAGACCTTAGATGGCTCAGGTATGTGGGGAGCTCTTGGCAAATGGGAGTCAGTTTAAGTGGCAATGCTAGAAACTCAGAACCAGAGGGAGCGCAGGGCTGGGCTGGGCTGGGCTGGCCACGAGACAAACCATCAGCCCAGGAGGCCCCAGGAGAACTTCCCTTAACTGGGGGCCAGAGCAGATCAGGAGATGGAGTAATCCTGTCCCACATCCTCTGGGAGAAGGGGAGGGCCCACAACCAGACAGTCCAACCCTCACAGCAGGGGCCTTGTCAGGCCCTGTCAAGCAAGAAACCACAGCAAATCAGTGGCCTGACTTTGCCCCCTACTTCCACCCACTCTGAGAGAAGGGGACACAATCACACAAGACCTGGGGAGGAGGCCAAGCCCTATATTTTATAGAAGAGGAAATGCAGGCTGAGAGGGGAAGTGACTTATCTACCATCCCACAGAAATGCAGGGCCTGGCCTGGAGGGAGCCCTGACAGACAGTGGCCCTGGGAAGTAGGGAGCTGGACACTGATGGGGACACAGACAGCCTGGTACACCAAGGACTCCCCAGCTGGCCAGGGTTGCCCAAAAGGTGAAGGTTTCCGCTTTCCTCTCCACCCACCCCGACCGACACCTCCCCTTCCCTTGGGCTGGGAGGGGCAAAAGCTGAGACCTCCCTCAGGGGACAAGAAGCAAAGTCCTTGAGACTCAGCAGATCTTGGCTCTAATTTATTCATTCCACAGGTATACATTAAGTGCTCACTGTGTGCTTCCATGATGGGGCTGCTGGGAGAACTGAGTTTGCAAGTCAAGGGTAGGGGTCACTGAGTGCCTGACCCTACTCCAGACCAATAGGGTCCTGAGGGAGAAAAGGGAAGCTCAAGGGGCACTGCTGGTCCAGTCTCCCAGCTCCTCCAGGGAGTTGGCCCTCCCAGGGAGGTGGGGAAGGCAGGGGCCAGGATCAGCCCCTATGCGGGCCTGACTCCGGAGCAAGAGAGAGGGTAGGGGAAAGGGGATCACAGGGACTTATAGAGGGGAGAAAAACGCAACTTCTCCAGTTTTCACCACCAGACACGGTCACGGCCTCAAGATTCCTTGAGAAAGGGACTCCGAAACCCACAGACTCCCCCCACACACACTCGGTCTACCTCCTCAGGATCAGACCTGGCCAGCATGGGGTGTCAACGGTAACCGCGTTCGAACCCAGTAACCCAAGCCACTTTCAGCGAGTCGTTAACTGACCAGAGCCTCAGTCTCTCCGTCAATCCAATGGGAACAGTAACCACCGCGATGCCCACAGTTGGTGAGAGAAGACAGGAGATAACGAAGGAGGGTGGGTCTGCGAAGTGCGGGACGCGGAACCCTAGCCCCTGCTCCATCGGCCTGGGCTCTGCCCGGGGGAATGGGGGTGGGGTAGCGGTTGGGTATCGGCAGTCCGGCGGGAGAGGGGCTGGTTGGAACAAGGGCCTGAGCCTGCGACCCCAACAAAAGTGAGGGGCTCAAGACCCCAGCCCCGGCCCCCCCGACTGGCCCGGCCCTCACCTCCTCCTCCATCGCGAGTCCGCTTAAGTCCCGCCGCTCCGCCGCTCACTCCGCGCGCCGCGCGGGCTCCACCACCTCCATCCACACCCGGCCGGGCGGCGGCTCTTTGCGTTCTGTCCCGCGGGCCGCCGGGGGCCCAAGAAACTTCGGGGGGGCGGGGTTGGGGGCGGGGAGAAGCTTCCGGGGGCTAAGGGGCGGGGCCGGGGGAAAGAAATAGCGGGGCTGGGAGGCCCGGGGCCCGGGCGGGAAACGGAGGGGCGGGGCCGGGGCTGGGGGCGGAGCCTGGGCGGGGCCGGGTTTGAGTTAGGGGACTGGACGGAGGAGCCGGAACGGAGGAAGGGGGAGGGACAGGGCGGAAAGAGGTTTCCCCGACCCGCTGAGGGAGAGGGACTGGGAGGGGACAGAGGGTGCGGGGGACAGGGCGGAGGGAGGGGGAGGGGGCTTCCGGCCAGAGGCGGACGGGAGGGACGCGGGCGGGGCCCGAGGGCGGGACCAGGGTGGGGCAGGACCAGCGAACGCCCGAGGCGCTGGCGGCTTGCGCCTTTGAGGTTTCCAGACCCGAGAGGGCTGGGGTTGCGGGACTGGCCCATGCGGTCCTGGGCGGCCCAGAGATGGCACCAAGAGGCTCCTCCTCTTTCCTCCCCGACGCTGGGGCAGTGGCGACAACCTGGTCCTCTTCTCCCAGGAATCTCCTCGAAGGGCCGGGCCTGGACCTCGCTTCGGGTCCCGGTAATCGGGTAACGGGAAGACTTGGGGCGGGGAATCTGGACTTCAGGGTCCCTTGTGGGGTAGGGAGGGTTACCTCTAGTTCTCAGGGGTCCCCAAATGCAGTGTTCTCCTGCCCTCGTTGGACATTGCACAGAGCTTTTCTCCCTGGTTCCTATAATCTGAGGGTCACCCTCCACCTCCCACCCCTATCCAGCGGTGATCTTGCAGCCTCGACAGCCTTGCTGGAAGTGGAGTGTTAACACCGTGCGCCCTCATTTTACATTTGGAGAAACAGAGGCCCAGAGAGAGAAAGTGACTGGCTACATCCCAGCCTCCAGCACAATCCGTGCCCCTTCCCTCGCAGCTCTCCTAGCCAACCCTGCCCAAGCTTGCTTCAGCAGGAAGAATTAAGTGTATTGGTGACCTCCTTTGGCTCTGGCTGCTATAGCAGCAGCTGCACCAGTTGATCAAGTTCCCCTTTCACTGCCTTCTGCTGGCCCTCAGGCCCCTAAGCCACTTACAGCCCTGCATGGAAAAGGGTAGCCTGGGGCCCATGGGGGAGGAAGATGGGGATCGGCTTTCTCTTTATGCCTGGGCCTGGGTTCCTTCATCTTAAAGGATCTGAGAAAGTCAATGTATGTGGCAACCTCTTGCAGCCACCCCGTGGTTTTATTCCCTCAATATGGTTTATACTGGTTTACTCCCTCTCCAGAGCTGGGCACCTCATGCCTGAGGACTCAGAGTATCCTGTATCTGGAAACAGATTCCACCTGCAGGAGACCAGAGACCCTGGGGAATTCATGTTGTTGCACAAAAGAGCTCATGGTTGGGGTGGGGTAAGGTCAGTTTTCACATCCAGCGAGCTCCATCACTTTTGGGAGTGAGCCACTGACAACCACTTTGGCATCAGTTTCCCCATCCCAGCCCATACTGGCCTCTAGTTGTTGCCTCCACACCACTGTGTTCATTCAGCCCAAATATTTTATTCGCCTTGTTTGTCAGTCCTTACACTAATGGCTGGAAGATAATGGCCCGGTCCTCTATCAGGAGAGAAAGACATGTAAACAGATGAGAAAACCATATGTTAAAAGTGAGGGTTAAATGTATATAGGAAAAGCACCAAACTGGGACAAAGAGGCAAGATGGGCATTCTAGGCAGAGGGGAGAGCAGAGCCACGGGAAAGAGGCATGAAACTGTATAGTGTGTGTGTGTAGGGCAGCCAGGCTGGAGAAGCACCCAGCTTAGTGTAGAAAGGGCCTTGAAGTCTGTGTTGAGAGGACTATATTTTAACCTCAGGGCAAGGGGAAGTCATTGAAAGTTTCTGGCTGTGGAAGTGATGGAGTCTGTTTTGCAGGTACACCATTTTATCAACACAACTTGTTGAGGGCCTTTGAAGTGGGGTGCTTTCCGATACTTCATCCTGGCATTTATTCACTCAAAAGAATTTAGGGAGCCTCTGTCATCTGTTCACTGTACTAAGCTCCTCACATGTACCTCATTTAATCTTCACAAAAGTGGATAATGACCCATGAGATAGATATAATTGTTATCTTCATTGAACAGATCTTGACTCCAAGGCTTAGACCTGTTTCAGGTCCCTTGACTGGTGAGTGGTGGTGCAAGGATTCGAACCTCGCCTGACTGCAGAGTCAGTGCTCTCTACTAAGTGTTTTGGCAGCATTGTATGACCAGCCCACACAGATCCGGGCCCTGCCTTGGAGGGCTGCAGAGCCAGTAAGAGGGCAGACAAGTCCTTAGAAGGGCTCTGAAAGAGTACACAGTGTGCAGTGAGAGCTGCTTCCCAGAGGAAGGGCTGGAGTGACTGAGGGTAGGCTCCCTGCTCAGTGGGGAGTCGGCTTCTCCCTCTCCCCCTGCTTGTGCTCTCTCTCTCACTTGCTCACTCTCTCTCTCTCAAATAAATAAAGTCTTAAAAAAAAAAGACAGTAAGGGGGGAGGGGAGGTTGGGGGAAAGTGGTTAAAAGGTACAAACTTCCAGTTATAGGGTAAATAAGTACTAGGATATAATGTACAACATGATGACTATAGTTAGTACCACTGTTATGATATACACAGAAGATTTTAGGAGAGTAGATCCTAAGAGTTCTCATCACAAGGAGAAATGTGTTTTCTTTTGTTTTTAATGGGTCTATATGAGATGGTGGATGTTAACTAAACCTACTGTGGTAATCATTTCACAATATATGTAAATATATGGATATTTCAGCTGAGACCTGAAAGATGAGACAGAGACAGCCACACAAAGAGTAAGGTGGAAGGTATTTCTTCTTTTTTTCTTTCAAACAAATATTTTTATTATTACTATTTTTAAGGTTTTATTTATTTATTTGACAGAGCGAGCACAGGCAGGGGGAGTGGCAGAGGGAGAGGATGCAGACTCCCCGCTGAGCAGGGAGCCCGGCGCAGGGCTCCATCCCAGGACCCTGGGATCATGACCTGAGCTGAAGGCAGACGCTCAACGGACTGAGCCACCCAGGCGCCCCTGTTTCTTTTTCCGTAAACTCTACCCCCAACTTCTGGCTTGAACTCACCACTCCAAGATCAAGTGATGTATGCTCTCCAGACTGAGCCAACCAGGCACCCTGGAGGAAGGTATTTCATGCAGAGGAAAAAAAACTAGTGCAAAGACCTGGGCATAGGGATGGGCTCTGGGGGGTACAAGGAGCACCAAGGAGGCCAGTGTTACAGAGACATAGTGAGTAAAGGAAGAAAGTGGTAGACTTGAGTTCACAGTGGAAGGAAGGGAGGGAGTTGGTCTCAGGCTGTGGTAAGGACTATGGATTTTATTCTAAGAGGAATTGCCTAGAGAGGCATCAAGGGCTTAAAAGTAGCAAAATGTGTTTATATGTTTGAAAAGATCCCATCTGCTGCTATTTGGAGAAAGGATTGAATTGTAGGGGGTTAGAGTGGAAGTCAGGAAGCCAGTGACATTAGGATAATTCCTGCTATAATCCAGGGAGAGAAGACAGGCTACTAGCTCTAGGTTGTGCGGTAGGGATGGAGGGAATGATCCAAAATGGCAGAAACAATAGGTTTCGATAGTGGATTAGATGTGGTAAGTAAAGAAGGAATCAAGAATATGATGTAGGGTGCCTGGGTGGCTCAGTTGGTTAAGCGACTGCCTTCGGCTCAGGTCATGATCCTGGAGTCCCGGGATCGAGTCCC